CAATAATTGTAGACATGAAACATGGTTCCTGTTTGCGCAGAGTTTCAACAATTACAATTCAAAGCATCTTTAGTGGTCTTGCTGTTTTATTGTGTGTAAATCATAAAAATCCCTTCCATAAAGACAGTGCGAAGCCTAGGCTTACACCCTTATGCAACTTGGATGTTGGAAAATACAAGTTACATCATTTATCAAGCAGTCAGATGCAATGGAGAACAACAGCAGAACAGCAATAAACAATGGCGGAATATTATGTTCTAAAAATAAAAGTTTTGAAACTGGAAATTTACCCTATCTTTAATGTATCAGTGAGTAGTTTGTTTTTTTCCTCTTTCTAAGAGTGTCATTGGATTGTCCCCATATTGATGAAGTCATTCTGAAAATGTATATCAAAATACTTTTTACACATTGCACAACCTAATGATCAACTTACGAAAGAAATGCCATATGTGGAATATTTCTTGAATTTTGTGTTTCTGTCCAATACAAACAACTTTTAATTTGGTAAATTTGGAAATGCAACCCCACACCATTTTTTGGGTGAACAGAATAATTTTCCACTAGTTTTCGTCATATTTCAAATAAATCTAGCATTCATTTCCTTTGCAAACGAAGCATAACTATGATATCGGTCTTGATAGCTGGGGAGGGCATGATAGGCCTACATATCAGGGAATTTCGAGAAATATCGGTAGAATACTAGCAAGCATAGTATAATAAATTTTCTGGTTGTATATGGGGCTCTGCCCCCTTAAACCCCTTTCAGGGGGGGAAACAGCCCCAACCCCCCACCTGGTCTACAAAATCTTCACCTCGTATGTTCCGGCATGATAAAGCCCTGGCAAACCAAGTATCTGACATGTTTTCAGTAGATATAGGGGGCTTTGCCCCCTATACCCCTTTCCAAGGAGGGCTGATGCCCCACCATCCCTGCCTGGTCTGCAAAATTTTCACCTCGTATGTTCCGGCAGGAGAGAGCCCAGACCCAGGGACAGTTTTAACCTCATCTTACCTGAAGCATCAACTCCAGATGGGCCAGGCTGCGTGTCACTGGGATCATCGGGGTATTCCAGGTCGTTGTTGGTGGGAATTGCGATCACTTACAGTAAAGTTATACTGATTTCATCGTTTGTTTTTAGGACCCTTTTCCATGCACTACAAATCCACTGGTGTCTGTCATTTCTATAATGCCATGGTGTCTTACAGTGTGGGCATTGTACTTCCAATGGTAGTATACCATGCTCTCGTAGATTTAGTAAGCTTGCTTTATTTCGTTGATATTTGCGGTGAAATTGAAATAATTGTTCTCCCAATTTACACACCGTCTAGCTTTGATGGAACTGATTTGAATTTCAAAAAGTTCTCCTAGGCCCAGCTTCTATTGCCACATGATGATCTATTCCATATCTGATTGGTTCTATTGAATGTCTATATTCATGTCATATTTATGCATGAATCTGATTGGCTCTAAGATTTCCCTCGCTTACATCATCCACTACAAATCCGTTCAATTTCCCGTCGCTCTTATCAACGCTGGAAGCATAAAGTTACTGCAGCTCCTAGAAAGTGTGGATTTTATACCCTCTATAACACTGTTATTGGCAATTTGTGCAGAAAATGGTATAGAAGAAAACTATCACAGAATGAGGCGTTCTACTACATGGTAAGCTCAGATTCTTTAAATTAGGCATTGGGTTGCATTTCCAATAATACCTTTAATTTGTACTTAATGGTTGTGTGAAAATTATACTATCCAGGAAAATTTACAACGGAGAACAATCAATATTTGAGTACAAAAAATTTTTTGAATTTTTACATTGACGTAAAATAAGACACTTTTCATCTATGGCATAAGGTGAGCAAATTGAAAATAAAGGAGATACATGACAGGGAAGAGAGAAGATCGACCCATCTTCTAAGTTCTTCGCCATGTAGACATCCCGAATGTAAACAAAATTATGACCACTGAACGCATTCCTGTACTCTCTCAAGTAGGTCATGTATTAATACGCGTTTGTCAAAAACAATATTTGGCTAATTATCAGTTTGCTGTTCCACACTCATGCTTTCAAGGCCTTTGTTAATGTTGTTATGCCTCATTTATGTTTCAAGATTTATTAGACAGTGATTTACAGGAATCAGTCTGAAGAACCTTCTGTGCACAAGCATTTCCATGTTTCTGCTGCCAGGCTTGACAGGACGATTCCCGGGCATTCAATGACAGAAGGCCAGCGAAAAATGTTTTGTTTTCGGTATTGCGTCAATTCTAGATTGTTCTTAAGGGGGCCATCGGAATGAATTTTCGACAAATATTTTTTAAAATACTAGAAAATTTGAGAAAAATCTCCTGCAATCTAGTAGGCTTTGGCAATCCCATGATGTAATATTTTTGCTAAATATGTAAACATAAAGGAGTTATGACTAAATCTCTAACCCCCCACCTCCGGCTCCGATGTTTACTTTGCCACGTCCGAGCTAATATACTTGACAAATTTGTTTTTCTGGATTTTTTTCAATTTATTTGGTATTCCCTGGTAGCTAGCTGTCAACTCTGTTTCTGAATCAGCTAACATCCACAAGAGAGGGAGAGTGAGAGGCTGTGCTGCCTCGGTGTGACCTTGGACTCGGCACAATCCTTTAGTCGCACCAATACAGAGTGTGATGCGCTCTCATCACACACTAAGAGGAC